CCCGGCCCGCGGAGCGCTGCGCGCGGCGCCTGAGCGCTGCGCTGTGCTGTGCCGTGCCGCTGCACCTCCAGCTCCGCACCCGTCCCTGTCTGCCTCAACAGCAGCAGCTCCGTCTGTCCTGGACCCTGATGTGGAGATCGGGATTCTCCCCGCGGTCTTGCAGTGCTGGGGGGAGAGGGTCAGTGTCCGAGGGGAGATAGAGCCAGTTATTGCTGTTAGTTATCCTCGCTGTGCTCAGCGCTGCACGGCAGGCAGTTCGTGCTGCACTGCCCTGGGCACGTCCTGCCTTCCTTCTCCTCAAGGTGTTAAATTTCCTCATCTGCTCCCTCATCTCAGCTAATGGAAAGACCCTTTTTCCCCCCTTTAACTGTGTCTTCCGCAGCAACATCAGTGCATGAGCCTGGACTGAGTGTAAGCCTGGAATGCATTAAGTGCTAAGAACAGGATCGCGTTTCCAGCACCTTACTTGTAAGGCAGATCAGGAGTTTGTCAAGACTCAAGGCAAAGCTTGCAGTGAGTTACATAACATTGTGCTAAAAATCCCCAACAAAGAAACACCAAACCCCACAAAACTCCTTTTTTACTGCTGTATCATGTAGCTGTTGGCTCCCTGACAGGAGCTGTTACAAACAGCAGCGAAGCTTCACACACTGAGTTTGGGCTCTGGAGTAGCAGTGGAGGGAGGGAGATGATGTGCCTAGTCCAGATGTTGCCTCTTGGACAGAGACTTGAGATTATTGGGGGAGTTTGGACCCCTTGATCCTAAGGCAGCAGCAAAATATATGATGTTGAATGAGAAACTTCCCATGAGCTGCAGTGTGAGCTCAGTCCATTTGAAAATCTCCAGCCTAACCCTCCCCTGACACAACTTCAGCCCATTCCCTGGGTCCTGTCCCTGGTTGCCAGAAAGAAGAGGCCAGTGCTGCCCCTGCACTTCCTTCCCTGAGGAAGTTGTATCCAGCAATGATAGTGCAAGGGAGATCTTTCCTTTTTCAGGATGGGAGCTGATGGCAGACTGGACTGATCTGCCAACATCTCCTGTCAGTCATTTGTGGATGTGATAATGACTCTGACCAGGAGGTTGTACCTTCTTCCCAGCAGTTCCCTCCTGTGTTGTGTTGATCCTGTATTGTGTCCACTATTTTGGGAGGCAAAAGCCTCTTCCTCTGAAATCAAATACACAAGGAATATTTTCATCTATTTTTCTCATCACTGCACTGTTGTTGCCTGTATCTTGTGGGGGTTTTGGTGGGGTTTTGTTTGGTTGGGGTTTGTGCCCTTGTCACTTACCTGACACCAGAGCAGGAATTTTGGGATCCAAACAGTTCCCACACAGAGGCTCTCAAAGAGTTTGCCTTTCATGTACAGAGTGTTTTGGAAGTACATCTGGGGAGCAAAAACTTTTATAGTGTCAAAATGTGTTGCCAGAAACAAGGAATGGTTTATGGACTGGGTGTTATGGTGTGTGGCTGCAGTTGTAGTTCTCATGCCTCGTGACACTGTCCTGGATGTTGCTGTGAGCTCAGTCCATAAAAGACAAGAGACTAAATACAGTTTCCATGACATAACTGCATTTGCTCTGAGTATTTGGGATCAAGTCAAAAGATTTTGGCTCGAGAGCATTAAAGGTGGTTTTTTCCATTGTGGTGTTTTAACAGCTCTGCAGCTTCTGGAGGAAAAACATGTTTTCTGCACCCTGAAGTCCTTGTTTTCTCCCTCCCCAATTCTGAGAGCAGACAGTGTTGAAATGTTACTACTACCCACAGCAGAAAAGCAGAGCAGATGTCCATGTGCATCCTCTTTGCCTGTTCTTCTCTGGGTATACACTTCAGCTACAGACAGAACTGCACAGTACTGCACAGACATGTCTGGAAAAGCATCCGAATTGTTCTCATAGTTGGTGATAAAACTTTCTGCGGCCTGTTCAAACAGCTTCCTTTTGGTCTCAGCAATTTGGGGAGCTACTGCCTGTGACTGGAAGTTATGTTGGATAGATCAAATCTTACTTGGCCTCAGATGTGTTTGCAAAGCTCAGTTCAACCAATCTGATTGCTGCCATTACTTTTGTTATTGTCGTCTCGCAGAGAAAATCTTAGTCATAAAGTTTCTGTGCCGGGAAAGGCAAATTCTCTCTGGTTTCACTGCCTTTTGGTGTTCAGCTCTGTGCTCTTTGCCCTAGATGCTGCAGAGATAGCTGTGGGTTTGTACAGAGTGAGAACTGCAGGTTGGTAACAAAGCCAGGGAGGGTTTCTCTCGGTGTGCTGAGCTCGGAGCCTTCAGGTGATCACTGCAGATCCTGTTTGCAGGCTCAGGGCTCAGGGAGAGGCTGGTCCAAATGTCAGGGGCTTGGAGCAAAACATGCGCTTCCCTTCTGCTGCAGATTTTGTGTGTTTTGTGGGCCTAATCACCCTTGTGCTCTGTTGTGAAGTGGGTTTAACAGCACCATTTGTGTTTCTAGGAGTGCTGTGAGGAGAGAGATACCGAAGCAAAGATGTTTTGTTGTGCATCTCCTGTGCTTGCCTGACATCCTCTTCCTGACTGTGGCAGGTGGTGCCCTCACTGTTATTGCATGGACTCTTGCTCAGTAGCATGGGAGAAGAGGAAGGACTGCCCCAAACACAGCTGCTGGTATGTCATTTTCTGCTTCTTAAGTGAAACCACCACTTAGAGCTTGTGTAGTCTCACCAACAGGGTGACCCAGAACTGATTGGATGATGTAAAATAGCGACTGGAAGCAACTGCTGCAAAAAGTCCAGTGAAAGGTTTGCCTGTATGGATCCATAAACCGTTTTCCTCTGCTTCCACGTGCCCAAGTGTGTGTTGGATTAAGGTTTTCAAACTTTCTGGTGTTTTCTGTTCTCATGTTGGCTTAGGAGACATTTAAATGCCAAGTAATGGGTGTATGGAAACCAGGTTAACATCCAAATGAAGTTTTCGTTGCTCTTCATGAGAATGTAAGGTGAAATAAAAGAAGCTTTCAGCTCTGCACAGTGTTTCATGTTGGATGATTAACTGTCCATGGTTTGTCAGTCGTCCCAAAAGATGTTTCTAGGGGTTGTTTCATGTGGTGTGTTCAAAAACGACTACATACAATGGCAGGAAAAATGTGGTGGGATATCCTCTGGAAGGAAGTTTGCAGGAATATCTGTAGAAATACCTGGAAAAGGCACTACCAAGCCAAAACGTGAGTTGGATTTAATAGGAAGGATGCAAATATTTTAGGTTGCAGGATAAAATTTCCTTCTGAAGTATTTAATATATTGCTAATCTATGGATAGCTGTAAAGAAGTTATGAAAAATGATTCTAGGACCACATTCATATCTTGTATACTGTAGTCTCTGCACATGATGATTTTACAGAGTTTTGTGGTGTCAGTGGAAGTAAATCTTTTGAGAGCTGGCAAATCCCAAAAGAGGTTACTGCATGGATACAGGCAGCCATGGAAGGAATGTTGTGCAGAGCCAGAGCAAGTGTTTATCTGGCCACTGTGCTTCCCCCAGGTTTTCACAGCAGATAAGCATGTAATGTATCTAGAAAGGAACAGTCTTGTTGCCCTTTGGGTTTGTAGTGGCTCTGAGAAAGCCAAGAGAGAACTCTGGAAATAGCTGGAATGTCCTGCAGCAGCCAGAAGGGCAAGGCAGAGCCCAGGGTTTGCCAGGCAAAGTGGGAAGTGATAGAGAAACACACTGCAGTAGCACTTTGGGTTTATCACCTTTTGTTTGGGTCAGTCCATGAACCAAACTCCCAAATATTGGGCAGACAGGAGTTCTGAGAGGGAAGGCTGAGAAGGGAAATGGCAAAGGAGCAGAAGTGTAAGGACCAGATACTGGCTCTTGTTTGCGGACTGATTTTGGAAGGCTAAAAGAAGTGATACCTACTGCATTAGAAACAAGAGTTACTTTGGATTTCAAGGGGTTCCCAGGGATCAGCTGCAGCATTTGCGTGGGACACTGGTGTCCAAATGGGTGCAGGTCAGAAGGGCTGAGGCACTTGGCAAGCTCAGAAAGGGATTGGTAGGTGTGTGTACTGAGCACCCTGAGTGTTTTCAGCTGGGGAACCTCAACCAGGAGTACAGGGATTTTGCTTCCTTAAAACCACTGGGAAAGGAGCACAGAAGCCCACAGAGAGGGTGACTGTGACCATCCTTATTGCACTTGCACAATTCCTGTAGGAATTAGGCAGTTCACTCACTCACCCGAGTAAGGGAACTGGAAGGACTGCTTTGGGCACCTCAGCCCAAATGGTGTCTCAGGTTACATGGAACAAATCCAGGCCCTACTCCTTCTGCAGCCAAAGTGAGCTAATCTTTTCACAGTTGTGTCCTGCTTCTGTGTGGGGCATGTTAGTGTTGTGGAGGGGTCAGGTCCTGGAGAGGTGGTGTGCCAGGTTGTGTTTTTGTTCCCAGAAGCAGTAGCTAAGCATATCAGTAGAGCCTCAGGAGGAGTGAGGAGGCACTGCCTGCTCACCAGTGTGCCCTGTTGTACCACTCTGTGACCTGCTGTGACAATCCTCACATTCCTAGCTTACATTTAAACAGCAGATTCTCTTCAGATTCAGGTCTGCTGTTCTGTGTTTTGGTCTTTATGTTTTCCCCCCTCCCTCTTGAGCTGTTTGCGTTGCCCAAGATGTGTTTGTTTGTGTTTTGAACAGGACACAATGTTTGTGCGAGGACTGAAGAGAAAATGTTTTGATGGTGAGGAAGACATTGAAGGGACTCTGGCTGGTATTAAGGCTATTCCTTCCTATAATCTCCAGCGTCAGTCACTTTTAGACATGTCCTTGGTTAAACTCCAGCTATGTCACATGTTGGTTGAGCCCAACCTTTGTCGCTCAGTGCTCATAGCCAACACGGTGCGTCAGATCCAAGAGGAAATGACTCAAGATGGGATTTGGCAGATGATAAACAGCCAGAGCTCAGGGCAGGCATCCCTGGATCGCCTGGTCTCAACAGATATCCTCTGCCGCTCCTCCAGGGAACAGGCTGAGGGAAAGCATCTTCCAGGCTGTGGGACTTTCAGTAAGGACTTTGAGGGTGACCAGGCACAAGGTAGTTCAGAAACTATGTCAACAACCTCTTCAGTGCAAGCTCCGAGAAACCTGCAGGGCAACGTGTGGGACATGGAGAGTCCACAGGAAAACAAAGGGAACTTTCAGAAGTCTTTAGATCAAATCTTTGAGACACTGGAGAATAAGAGTCCCAGCTCAGTGGAAGATCTGTTCTCAGAAGTTGACAATTCCTACTATGATCTCGACACTATGTTGACAGGCATGATGAGCAGCACAAAAATGGGACACTGTGATGGGCTTGAGACATTCTCCTCTCCAGCAAATGCAGCTCCTAACTCAAATTGTAAATCTGACCTTAATGAGCTTGATCATATTGTGGAGATCTTTGTCGAGTCCTGAAACTCCTTCTATGGGAGCTAAATTTCTGGTAGTGGGAAGAAAAGGCTGGAGAAGGCTATTCCCACAGTCTGGCCTAGCAGATCTGCACGAGTATTCCACAGATATCTATATATTTTATAGATAAATGTAATTAAGAAGCACTTCAGATTGCAAAATAGGGTTAACTCCTAAAGTTGACTCGACCTGTAGTGTCATAGTCCCATTTATTGTCCACTGAACCGTGAGTCCATGCGGTAAACATTTCCATCTGAGGGCCAAGGCCCCTGAAGTTGTGTCCCTTGGACCAGTTTGCTTTAGCCTTTGCTGGAAGATGTGCTGAGAGGATTCTCTCAGCTTCTTATCCTACTCCCTGTAGGAATGGCAATAAACAGAGAAGTTGGACGACAGGTTCCTGTTTACCTCTGGCTTCCACCTGGTTACGCCTCAGAGCTGCCAGATCTGCTGCTTCCATGCCAAGCTGCCACTCAGCTCTTACAGAGCAGTATGCAATAGTTCTGGTGTCCTCTCTAGTTTCTTTGGGCTTCGTTACACTGTTTACTTCCAAGATAGTTTGAAAGTGTTTATTGGTGTTTAGATTTTTTTTTTTCCAGGTATTTTCCTAAAGTCTATTTTTACTACAGATGTTGTGTCAGCTGCTAACTTAGTACCTTTTGATCCTCTCTGCAGCTGATGTATTTTTGGAAAGGTTTTCAAAAAGGGATGCTTTTTTCTACCGTGAGCTACCCATTGTAGTTCAGTAAAGTGTATGTAAATGTAAATACACAGTTTTATACTTTGCATTAAAATGTCAGAGTTGTTTTCATGGTTCTGTTTGATAGAGTAGTACTTCACTAAATGAGAACTGTACTTCTCTGCTCTTCCTCCCCTACATACTTGAGCATCACTGGAGGAAGAGCTTTGCACCAGCTCGCTACACTCCCACCCAGTTCTCTTCAGACCACACTTTGTTAACTGCAAACCTAAGTTACCTGAGGTTTTATTTATGTGTATTTATATGTGAATGTCATCGAGTGAATTGTTTGTCACTGAGTCGCCCATGGGATCTGTGTTTATATGGCATAACTCTCTTGCACTAATTGCTACAGAAAGTGTTGTTAGTGGCCTTGAAACCTCACTGGTGTGTCATGATGTCTTGTCGGAATTAACATGCTCCATCTTCCCAAGGGTTTCCCTTTGGCTTTGTTTTTTAATAACACAAGATAACACAACCTGGAATGGTGATCTTTTCTTCCTGCATGTTCTACTGAGAGTGGACAGAGCTAAGCTGCAGCACAGGATTCTGGTATGTTACAGCAAACAAACTGCTACTGGGGCAAAGCCCCAAGCCAGCAGGGAGGTGGATAAGGGGAAAAAGGTGATGAGTCTCTGGAATGTGTGGGCAGACTGTGCCAGGGAACACATCCTCCAGTAGCTCAGGTGTTTTCAGCAGCCTTGGCCCAAGCAGGGTGGTGAGAAGAGTACCCTGCTGTGTCTGACAGGCTCTGCCTCCCAGGAGTCACCTCACCTACCGTGCACTGTCCTTTCCAGGGTCTCAACCCCCTGGAAAGGGGATTGGGGGGTGACAGAGGGGTGTGAAGGACATTTAAGTATCACCTCCACAAAAGGAGACAGCTTAGCTTATGGTTTTAGAGCATCTGCTTTGAGGAGAAGTTGCTTCATTTCACTGAAGTTCTCACAGAATAGAATTAGAGAATCACAGAATCACCAAGGTTGGAGGAGACCTCCAAGATCAGCAAGTCCAACCCTACCGTGGTCACTAGACCATGGCATTAAGTGCCACATCCAGTCTCAGCTTGAAAACCTCCAGGGATGATGAATCCACCACCTCCCTGGGCAGCACATTCCAATGCCTGAGCACTCTCTCTGTAAAAAATCTCTTCCTAATATCCAACCTAAACCTCCCCCAGCAGAGCTCGAGTCCTTACAAGTATCGATGCAAACTGTCACATCTCACAGGGAAATACCAGTCTGGTTTATTTGCTGCTGTTTGTTGTAGTGCCAGAGCTTCCTTCAAAATAACAAACCCACAGGTAGTTTTTCCTGGTGCTTTTCTGTGTGAGAACCACTGAATTGGACAGCAGATTCCTTAGGGTGAAGCAGAAAGCCAGAGAGCTTTAGTAAGGGAACAGCAACACTGAGTGGAACATCTAAATACCTTCTGTCCCTCTGGGGAAAGTTCCCCCACACTGCTCTGAGCTGTGGTTTGAGCAGCTGTGGCTGTTCCCTCTGCCCCTCACCCTCCCTTGGCATCAGACTAGGCTGTTCCTCTCCTCCTTGGTGCTCATCAGCTCCATGGCACAGGTAGGAATTGGTAACACTTGTTCCTAACTGCTGAACTGCATATATGTGTTTATAGCTCCATTCCTTATTCCTGCCCAAAGCCTCTAGCTGGGAGCATTCCTTCCCTCAGGGAGCTATGCCTAGTTAAAACAGCTCGTGGAGACTACTTGGCTTAATGGGAAAGGTATGAGATAAGTGCATTTATGGAGTTAGGCATTTAAACAACTATATATCCTCTTTTATTGCGTTCTCAACACTCGTGCCAAAGCTTAGGTGCTTTTCCAAACCTGATGTCTTGGCCCAGCAGGGAGAGGAATTGGTACTGCTGGAACCTGCACAGTCACTGTACAGACCTGATGTGTCTGCAGCTGGTCTGACTTGGCAGAGACCAATGTGAAACCAGCTCGTCTCCCACTGCTCCCCAGTGTAGCTCAGTGCTAAGCTGTGCAGGTTCTCCTGGGGGAAAGAAAGGAGAAGAAAAGAACTGTTTCTTGAAAGGAGAAGAAAAGAAAGAACTGTTTTCTCAGTGGCATTGTCATCTCTCTGCTAGTCCAAAGAGGTGTTGGTTAAATATGCATCCCTTAAAGGTTAATATGATGTTTCTCCTCTAAGGTACTCAGAGACACCAGAAATGACAGTGAATCCTGAATGAGTAGGTGAGCTGTGTGTGAGGTGATACTGCTGGGGGGGTCTGGCTTAAATTCTGCATATCGGTGCGAAATCAGCCTCTCTTAAATGAGGAAAGGCTTCTGACAGATTTTGCTGCCACTTCTAGCAGCCTTTTTGCTTTCAGGTGCTCCTAGGGAGAAGGGTCATGGAGCTTGTGTGGTACTCAGTGCTGTGTGTGAGACAAGAGTGTTATCTGCAGGAGGTGACTGGGTTGGAAAGAAGAAGAAACCACTTTGAAGCACACAGCTAACAACAGATCTGCGTTCTTCTCGGGTGACCTTGAGTATCTGTCCCTCTCTGCCTTGTGGCTTTATTGCCCCTTCTCCCTTGCCAGAAAATCATAGAATTACAGAATTCTACGGGTTGGAATGGAGCTTAGAGATCACCCATCCCCAACCCCTGCCCTGGGCAGGGACACCTCCCACCAGAGCAGGTTGCTCAAGGCTCAGCCAACCTGGCTGTGAACACTGCCAGGGTTGGGGCAGCCACAGCCTCCCTGGGCAACCTGGGACAGGGTCTCACCACCCTCACAGGGAAAACTTCTGACTAACATCTAACCTCAATTTCCCTCCTTCAATTTGTGCCCATTGCCCCTTGTCCTGTCCCTGCAGCTCCTAACACAGATCCCTCTGCAGCTTCCCTGGAGCCCCTTCAGCTCCTGGAAGGTGCTCTGAGGTCTCCACACAACCTTCTCTTCTCCAGGCTCAACAGCCCCAACTCCCTCAGCTTGTCCTCACAGGGGAGATGTTTCAGTGCTCTTAGCAACTTTTTGGCCTGCTCTAGACTTGCTGCAACAGTTCCATGTCCTTCTGATGTTGAGGGTACCAGAACTGTGCAGTATTCCAGGTGGGTCTCACCAGAGAGGGAGAATCAGCTCTTTCAACTTGCTAGAAGTCAGAGCTGCTGGAGCTCAGGCATTCAGCAAAGCCAGAGGAGTGTTATATGAAGCTGCAGGAGCAATGGCTTGGCTGCTTCTCTCTTCCCTGCTCCTTTGGTGGTGGGTGCTTTCCATCTCCTCTCTGCCACAGCTCTGGGACTTTGCCCAGCCAAAGGCTTTGCCTGTCCCTGTGAACATAGCCATGTTATCCTAAAGGGCAAGTTTGGTCAATGAAGAGGCATGAGAAGCACCTTTCCTAGGCAGACTGCCTTGGAGGCACAGCAGTGAGGGGGCTCAGCCTGGAGCCACACTCTCCAGGAATTACCTGTTTTCAGAGCTGTCCTTGGCCTTCTCCTGAGGTCTCAGGTATGTCTGGACTGCCCTAGTTAGCATTCTGGGAGGCACTGTTGTACATTGGTGGTGTAGCTTCATAGTGCAATTACCAGACATTAATGGACTTTTTTGTGCCTCAGAATATTGATTTGACTGTGTGACTGCTTTGCAATCCTGCACCTGAGCCCATATTCCTACAGAACTACTCCTAGGGTGGAAAAAACTCCGCGGCTTTGCAGACATCTAGGATAAGGCATAAAAACACTTTCAAAAGTGACTTCTGTTCAAAGTGAAACTATGCTCATGTCTCAGGCCTTGGGTGTGTAGTCCCATATGCAAAACCACCATGACTGATGGTGACAAGTTTTGTTTGCTCATCAGCCCTTAAATGAGTGTGATTTCCCACTGTGAGACTAATACTGAGAGCACAAGCCCACCAGGTTCCAAAGAAATGAATAAAACAGCTTGGGAACAGGTATTTTTGTCAATCTGGCTTGTTCAGCTCTCAGCTTTTCCTTTTGGTGTCTCTTGCCAAGTTGACAGTTGAGATAAATTTCCCTATCTTTTCGAGGGAGCTCAATGAAGAGATGAAATCCCATTGAATAATTCAAGTTGTCAGGGAAGAGATTTACTTCAGGTGTCTGGAGTGACTTTGAAACAACAAAAAAAAAGCCAGTGAAAGAGACTAAAATTTCCTTACCCAATTACTCCTGTGCTTAACCAAGATCTCCCCAAAATGAGTGTTTTATGACCTGAATCACAGAATCATCAAGGTTGGAGGAGATCTCCAAGGTCATTGAGTCCAGCCATGAAGAATTCCTGTGTAAATATTGCTGCATGACCAGCCTATCAATAGGAAAACC